TATTTATCAATTAGCATTTTTTTTCCCCTCTGTGGTGCTGGGGATTGAACCCAGGGCCTTGTGCATGCAAGGCAAGCACTCTACCAACTGAGCTATATCCCCAGCCCACAATGGTCTCGCATTCTGTAACAGTTCACCTAAGAAATCAAGAGACCTTTCGATTCTCAGGACACTAACTTATTATATCCGGAAGGTCAGAGCCACTATAATATCAGTTTCACTTGAAACCAATTTTGTTTCAAAAGACTCTATTGAGAGGCTCATTGGTTTTCTCATCCATGCAAGTGTGTGGCCATGAGCCACGTTAATAGCACCTGAGCTAAGATCATGCAATTCAATTTACAAGTATTTATTGTCTGCTGAGCAAGACATTGTGCTAACTGGGCCTTGGTCAGAAATCCCTTCTTAGGCCCAGCAGCAGTATTCAGTAACTGGTGTTGGGGTCAGAGGTGCCAGGGCAGTTCAGGCCAGTCTACTAGGGTCCCAAGTGTATGTACTCTCACCTGATAGGCAAGTGAGAATGCTCTTTCTCTCTTTGGCAGCATCCATAGGGATTGCTCTCTGAATACTGCCTTCTCTGTAGCATTCTAGCAGGACTCGTCATTTCCATTTCCCTTAGAAGATCCTGCCCAGTCATACTCCTTCCTTTGGGTACTAATCCTCCCCACCTTCAAACTCCCCCTTGAAAGGGTCAACCCAGGAAGCCATGCTTGTACGACAGGACCTTGACTCCCAGGTCATGGCTGATTGGATAGGCAGGCACCTGACCCCATGGAGGCTCACCCAGAGCCAGATGAACTGGACCAATCAGATTCTTCAGAATTCACCCGCGGGGGGCACAGAGATGCTAGTCAGAGTGGTGGGCTCTGGGAAGGAAGAAAAGGTCAAGTAGTGTGGGTCCTGGGGTGGGTTCGTTAGCTACCTATTTGCTAATGAGTAAGCCACAGGAAGCACGAGATCCGAGCAGATGTGCAGAGAGAAACGGATGAGCTCCATGAGGAGAGACCGTGAAGGAGCAAGAGCGCGCGCCAGGGCGGCTGCCTCCATCCCTTGCCACCAGGGAGCTGCGTTTTGTTTCTGTGAAATGTTCCTGAATTCTTTCAGTCAACCTCCACATTGTGCGAGTGTAAATGGGTTTCTCGTCCTTGCAAAATTCCTTGACCAGAATACCTCTGAGGTTGGACTGAAGGGCAGAATTTAACTTCCAACACATAGACCCCACTCAGTCACTATTCCAAGTCAAATTATTATCCTTCTTTAAAGTCTTTAGCTGTATTTTGTGGGGGAAACTCCAAATTATTTTCTGGTGTGTGGTAGGAGGAATTTAGGGTTAAGTTCAGATCCTGTCATCAAACTTTAAAAATTGCATTCATTGAACATTGAGCACCCGTGTGCTACATAGAAAAAAAGAAGCTCATTTATATGTAATCAGTATTAATCAATATTAAAAATTTTGATCCACTTCTCCAATTTCTATCTTAAATTTAGAAAAGCATTTCTTTCAGAAGGTACTTAGATTCCTCGCCCCTTCTTTTCTACAGGCTCTCTCTCAGAAGAGCTTTTTTTTTTTTTTTTTTTTTAATCATATATCAAATGATTTCATTTCTTCCATCAAGATTATTCAGAAACTACATGCCCTTTTGCTGGATTCTTAAAATAACAAACGCACAAGATAACTTCTCCCCAGACTAGAGAATTGATTCTTATATAATCCGCCCTTGAAGAGGCAGCTCTTCCCCACAGGTAACAGTTGCTGTCTTGTTATTGCACATGCCTCAGATCACAGGTGCCAGGCCACACCATAGACCTCTGTGTTCCTGCACCTCTGGATTGCCTCCCCAGATGCAGAGTACGGCATCTGCTATCTCACAATGACAAGCTGTCAGTGCTCTCCTGCCTGTGCCAAGATAAGAATTCACACACCCCGTCCCCCCCAGTTCTGAACAAGAGTTGAGGACACCATTTCCTGGATAGGACTCTCTGGGGAAAGCCAAAATGCATTTCTTTTTCATGAATGCAGAAAAACTTGCATCAAAACCAGTGATGAGAAAATGTTTATTAGGCCCCAAAGGTATTGTCCTCTGTACACTGTATCCAAAGTTCCTGACATACTCCACCATATGTTGCCTTGGCAAGAACATTACGGAGTCCCTCATATGACCCTTGTCTATTTTTTAAACTTGCAGGCACAAAGGAATGGGTCGCCGATGTGTGCAGGCAGCATGGAAGATGGAGAGCAAGTTGGATGGTGAATCCTCAGGCTTGGGCTAGATCCTCAGGCCAGTTCCTCCACTCGTCCAGACTTCCTCCTCCAAGTCATGGAGGTCCATTATGGCTTCTACGTCTGTCTGGAGGATCACGATGAACACTGAGGTCACTGCTGCCTCCTCTAAGCTCTCACGAAATCCTATTTTTACCCCCATGAGGCACTTTTGACTATCTGTCTTTTCTCAGAGTTACCTGTCCAGGCATCTGTCATCTCCATAAGGTTAGGAGACTCTTCAGAGAAAGGACCACATCTTAGTCTCAGAAAACCAAACAATGACTCTGCTTCCCCATTGGTGGGAAAACATGAACAGATTTCTTTTCAATGTAAGTTTTTCCTTTCAAATACTTTCTCTTGAACCCGTGACGTCTGATTTAAGAGAGTGTCTGATATAGCACACTATATTTGAGTTTTCTCAAGCATTTCAAGTAGGGACCACCTATTTCTGCAAAGACTGTGATATCTAGAGCTCCATCCTCTTAGCCATCTGGAGTCACACCACTGCAAACTATAGATTTATGGTCTGTGTGTCACTGAAACATCCAAAGCTCAGACACTGTCTTTTGAAACATGTACATATATTTCAATGACACTGAGGTCTTGAAATTTCATTTTTGCATACAGTATTTCCAGGCATTTACCAAGCAGACAAAGTACTGGGTTAATATCATTGCACTGATGAAATATTGATATTATTGATAAAGCAGGACAATGTAGCTGATTTTATCAGACTCATACCATTTGCATGAAAAGGCTGAGTTTCTTTGGCTCTTTGTTCATTCAAGTGCATTGGATGCCTATTTGGATAGCCTTAGGCATCCTGTGAATCTGTCAGTAAAATCTCGCACTGTCCACAGTGTTCTGCAAGCTGACTTAGGTTTTGGACTACAACAACTGGCCATTGGTAGAAATATACCATATATACACGTGGAAATTACAAAAATACATTTTATTTATAGCTGATTTCTTTTTAAGTAACAAAAAACTAACACTATGAAAGATCGACCAGCATACTAAAAGGACACTACCTAATATCATCCGAACAAGAGTCTTGTTTGGGGAATTCCATGACACATCATCTCTAAACATTCCAGAAAGGGCTATTTGCCATTGGGAAATAAAAACAGCTTCTTGGAAAAGCCTGTGCTTTGACAGCTTGAATATCCCATTCAAATATGGTTCTGTTCCTACTCTTCCTCAGCTTTTCTATTTTCACCTGCTTCTTTCAGTAAAGACCAAAGAAACTCATGAGGACAATGGGAAGTGGGCTCAGAAGGGAATGGGCAAGCTGAAGCTGATGGATCATGGGTAAAGGCAGGACAGGACCTCGTTCTCCAACAGACACCAAGCAAGCCCCCAATACCATACGTGGCTCCCAAAGTCAGGCAGGGAGCCTAGTGCCCCCGGTCCCTCTGTGACCCACAGTCAGTAGCTGTCTTGCTTGCATGACAGGTAATCAGTGGTTGGCACCCAGTGCTGTGGGCAAAGTCTTCCACCCAGAGGTCTGGAGATCAACATCTCCATGCCAGGGAGGGTGACACGGAACGTCCTGGTCACAAGGTAGGACCCCTGTCACTTCAGCAAGTGTCTTCCTACATCCATCAGCTATGGAGAACTGGTGAACTCCACACACTTTGTAAAAGGTTATTTATGTTGAAACTCATATCAACAGATTTCCTATATTTGGAAGCTTCTATAAACAGAGGCCGATTGTGAGGTTACAACCCGAGTTTCTAACAGGAATCAGTGACTATTTCCTTTTGTATCATTCGGCAGCACACGCTGGTCATCGCTGTTGAAGAGATAAGATTTTCTTGGAAAAGTCAATGCATCTATTATCCCCCCCCCCCAAAGACAGAAGCTCTGTTCTTGTGCCACCTTGAAAGCCGGCAAAAGAAAACCCTCCACAAATAATGTTTTTCTTTTGTAGGACCCTAAAAGCTCTTGGCACTGATTCTCTCTTTCCATTAGATCCCAACTTGGAGGGTACTCTATTTCCAAAATGACAACACCTTTTAAAAACTCTGTCAACACAAATCCACCATTCCTGCTCATCTTCTCTCTTTCTCCACCTTTAATTCACAGGGAAGAAAGATATCATGGCTATTTATAGGCATAGCCACTGGTACTGATTTTCATCCAATTCATTTGACTTTGAATCTGAGCCTTTAAAAGCAAAGGGACTCAAGTTTCTTGGCTGGAGTCAGTGTCTCCCTTACAGGCTAGAGATGACGTTAGTGATCATGGTCGTGGCTGAATGAGAGAGTACAGGCTGGTGCTTAATTCACACTCCTACATTGCCTTTAACACGGAAAGAGTTAACATGCAGAGGTCACCGAAGATAGAGCTGTGTTCTCCCCCTTCTGGTGATTTATTAAAATGTAGCATTGGACAGGAATCTGTACATTAGCTAGTGCCTCTTGTGACTAAGGCTCCTTAGGGAAATACACCCTAAGGATGATTCAAACACTCGGCATAACAGAGTATCACTCACATGGTCCCAAGCAGGGACGTCTTGACCCACCGTCAGTTGCACAAACCAAGAATCTAGTCGTTCATGAACGTCCTCTGTTTCTCAGAAGCCCCCCTGTTCACCTTTTCTGTTCACCTTTTCTGAAACTGAGGGTGAGATTCACCCATTGTCTATGTCTCAAGTCCCCACACTTCGGGTGTGAGTGACCCAAAGCCTGCTTCCTTGGAGTCTAGAAGTGCAGAGTCCCACGGGGCTAAGGCATTAGACCTGGAACTCAAACATGTCCGTCTGCTTCTTGGCCAGCTTGGCCACCTCCTCCCGGATGGCCTTCACCAGGGCCGCGGTGGAGATGTTGGTCAGGGGGGTGTCAGGTGGGTCGTTCTCTGCCAGGCTCTGCTGCGAGGCCGCTGCGGAGGCCACGGGGGCCTGCTCCAGGCTGGGGTGCAGGTTGGTGGGCTGGCTGTACTGGCGAGGAAGCCTGGAGGGTGAGCTCTGCTGGTACCGGGACCGGGGGTAGGCCTCGATGTACCCGGGGAGGGGGACCTGTGGAGGACGTTGGGAGAGAAGAGAAGGGCCTGGGATTAGGAGGGAGCGCAAGTCACAGGACACACTGGGTACTGGTAGCAGGAGGGGACTGAGGACAAGGAAAGGCGTTTAAAAGAAAACAGAAAATGGAAGCCAAGTACCACTGTACGGATGCAAGATCTAAAAATGCGTTTAGAAAACAGGTCATTTGGACTCACTGAATATGCTGGTTGGATGAATTAAATAGGTGTTTTAAATCTTGCTGAAAACATTAGGAATATATCTGAGTCTACATCTGAACCTCCTGGCTTCCTTATTAATTGAAGTATAATCCAGTCACTAGAACTATTGCTTGGGAGTGCAGGGGTTTCTTCTCTATAATAGCTACAAATCCTGGAACCCTGTGCCAAGGGATCTCCACACATTATCTCATTTAATTCTCTGCAGCAGCCCAGGAGGTCGGTACTGTTATCCTTATTTAACAGGTGAGAATACCGAAGCAAAGCGTGCCCCTGGGTTTCAAGTGGCAAAAGCCAGCAAGCCGCTGGGACATGCTTTGCACAGCCGCATCTGGCTCCAAGGGCTGGGAATTAAACCCTGCACTATAGTGTCTAGGATCCAGGATATGATCTAGTTTCCTGAAAAAAAAAATGTTCTCTTTTCATTTAAAAATGAAAGACACACTGTACTATACATAAATACATGGAAACTCTTAGGAATAAGGACAAGGCAAGGACATGGAATTCAGAAGTGACTCTTCCACAGAAAGGGTGCCACAGTTGGAGATGTTGTTCTAGGCTAGTCCACAGAGACCTTCATGTTCCATAATGCTGGCTGGATCACTGCAGAATGAGTGACACTGCTGCCACAGCACAGGGTGCTGTTGGGAAGGGGGCATGTGTGGGCAGCTCTCTGGGAGAGACCGCAGGGGTCAGTCTACTTCCAGGAAGATGGAACAGGGGAAAGCAAGTTCAAAGGCATGGGGGTGGGGAGGGGTACAGGGAAGTCAACGGCCCCAGGGAGGTGCAGGTCCAAAAGCCCATGAATGCCAGACCATGACATTGAGCTTCCTGGTCCTTCTACCTATTTTCTGTATCACACTTCTGAGGAACACAACCCGTTCCCATTCGTAACAGACATGCTCTTCTGGGCGCTGGGTGAAGATGGAGCCGATGGCTGCCTTAGTCTGTTTGGCTGTTATAACAAAATCTCACAAACAGAAGTGTCTAGAAACAACAGAAACTTATTTCTCACAGTTCTGAAGGCTAGAAAGTGCAAGAGCTAGGCACTGGCAGATTCCATGTCTGGAGAGGGCTGCTTCCTGGGTCATAGACAACGATCTTTTCACTTTCACATGGCAGAGGGTGAGGGATCTCTCTTATAATCCCCTTCACATGGGCTCCACCCTTGTGATCTCATCACCCCCTGTCTCACCTCTTTATCACCTTGGGGTGATAGGATTCAACTTTTGAATTCAAAGAAGAGGACACAGACTTTCAGACCATAGCAATGGGATTGGGTGATGAATCAGAAATTTTGGATGAGGGAATATATGGTGGGAAAGCAGCGCCCTCTCTTCCCTGCTGGAAGTTCTGATGACCCCTACCGAGAAGGCCAGCTTCTAAGATGCACAGCTGACCCTGGCGTGGAAACCACGGCTGGGTGTCAGGCAGAGGGGGAGTCTGTGCTTTGGAAAGGACACTCTGGGGAGGATCTGCTGGGGATGATGCGTTCTGGGGCTACTCGGTAGTCCAGGATGCAAGCAGGGTAAGAAGTCATTGGATCAATATCCTAAGTTCGAGTTTGGGGCTTAAACTTCCCCACGAGACCTAACAAAGAAATACAGAGGAGTAATTAGGTGGCAATGGCAGGTGTCTTTATGTAGCACTTGTAAGTTTCTCTATTTCGTAGAGGAAAACCAGAGTTGGACTGTCAGAGTCCTTGGGCCACAAGAGCTGGGAATGCACAGGTGACCAGGAACCAAGCCAGGGCACGGGAAGCACATTTCAGATCTCAGCTCAGATTTCCTTGCTCTTGGGGACCTTTACCAGGCTGACATTAGCCCAGGCCCCTGTTAGGTGTTTCCTGCAGTTTCTCTACTGTGACAGTCATCCCTCCTGATGCCATTGCCTGTCACAGGTCATCAACTTTGTGAAGGCAGGACGTGGCCTCGCTTACTCACTGCTGCACCCTAGTGGTCATAATTTGCACATCACACAGCAGCGGGTCCCCTGGAGCCTGGGCTTAATCATTGAAGGATGAGGAGCAGATGTCAAGTGGTGGAGAAGGAAGCGGCCACATCCCCTCGTCCTCATTTTAAATTCAGCTAACTGCACATGCTGGTGTGAAAAGAGTCAATGTCCGACTCTTGAGACCCCTTTCTCTGTGGCATCAAGACCTGGTGGCTGGGACAAGCTAGGGACACCTGAGTCTACTGTGGTGGCCTTAGTAATATCCAGAAACTGGGAAGATGATAGAATATACAGGCTGGTGCTTTGGGGATGCTTTTCCTTCTCACACTGGTGTGGAGGGTGTGATCAACCCTCCCCCAAGGGAGTATCTTTCTTAAGCTGTCAACTGGTCCCTCTGATCTTCCTGCATGATTTCTCACGGGCTCTCAATTTTGTCCTGCCCAGCTTGCTCCAAGCTCCGGGCACACTTCCCTGCTTTGCAGGTGGTAACTGGGCTCCAAGAAAGACCATTTAGGCTGCAGCATCATCTTCTCTCCATTAGAAGCAACTGGTAGGAAATTCATTCTCTTTCACACTGAGGGGGATGAGCCCAGAACGATCCAGTCATTCTGTCAGGAAGGTCAGGTTTCCATTTACTGGGCTCCTTTCCTTCAACTCTAAGGAACATCTAAGGAACTCTATGCATCTGAACATAGCTACAAGCCTAGCTAAGTTCTCATTTGAAAGTGTCTTGAGAGCAAGGTCAAGGATTTGGAAAATACTTCCTTTTACCAATTCTCTCATAGCACCCAGTGTTAACACTGCACACGGCCAGTGAGCTGTCAAAGCTGTGGGCTTACTGCTGGTTTGTACAACTTACCTACTTTCTGAAGGTATTACATTATTTTGTAGACTTTTAAGACTATTTTATGGAGTCAAATAAGCTCTGAACCAATCAAATAATAGCCAGTGATGTCAGAAAAGCAGAGAATGAAAAAAGTACGGGGGTGGGGGGGCAAGCCCCCTAACAACCAAAATAGATGCTATAAAGTACCACAGTAAAATTCACAGACGTAGCAGCAGGAACTCCCTCTAGATCCTCTCTTAGAGCTTATTTACTCCAACTTTATAAACAATTATAATGAGCTCAGACATGCTTCATTTGCAGAGAATAGCACATTAGGAAAAACACATTCAAGAATCCGTATTACTGGAAGTGGGGACATTGACACCAATATAAAGTGCCAGCTGGGAACAAGATCAGGCAAAGAAGAACCATATTGAGCCACAGCAATAACCCCCCAAATTGGAGTAGTTTGGAGATACTTGACGTAGGGGCAATAATCCTACCAACCATTAGAGCTCATCCTACAAATGTTCTCTTGGTATAGTGAGGCCAAACGATGCTGAATGGTTCACAGAAGACAAACGAAATTATGTCACGTCCTCTTTTAAAGAAGGGGAAAGAATAGGATTCATTTCCGAAATATCATGCAAGATGGCATACAGTTTTCAATGTTTTGGAAATCAAAGGAGTTAGCTTTGGTCAACAGGAAAGCGAATGCATGTAGGTGCTGTCATTTAAATGTCATATCACTGTAGGGAGGATAGACACTAATGCTGAGTTGGAGCTGTAGGAGGAGAGTCTGGACTCTAGGGAGTCCTCCTAGAGTCCAGACTCTCCTCTTCCTAACTCTAGGATTAACTCCAAATGCTGAGACCAACCTAAAATGACCTAGAGCACCAGGGAACCACCAGGCTCAGCCTGCCTTTCTCATCCACAGTAAGCAGTGTCACCCAGGGACTAGATGACCCACTCCAAAGGCCACCACTAGGCTTTTTCCCCCCTCATAGAAGCCCCCTTGCAGGTGACCCAGAAGGCAGGTTTGGGCTTGAATACCAGGTAGGTACAGACAGTGCCATATACTCCTACTTGTAATGAAGGAAGACACCAAAGGATCAGGACAAGCCAGTCCTTGGCTGGAAGTCAGGCAGGAAGTCTTAGGATGTATATACAAGGTAATTTCAGTCTTGGGTTTCTAATGCTTCATTTGCTGGCCTTGGATCTAAAATGTTATCAACTCTGACAGCTAAAAGAAACAAGTTTAATGAATACTTTGGAGTCATACAGGTGCAGGTATAAATTCTGACGTTGGCACCTTACTCACTGTGTAGGTATTAGACAAGTCACACCAGCTGACTGGGCCTCAGTTTCCTCATCTGCAAAATGGGAGTAATCATGGGACCAATAATACCTACCTGATAGGGTTTTTGTGAAGATTAAATAAGATTCTATACATATGACATCTAACATGGTGTCTGGCACATAGAAAATACTCAACCCACGGTAGCTATGATTATAAAAATTCACTTGATTAAGGTCTCTTGCTAGGAGGTAGAATCTGTGGTGGAAACAGGTCTCAAGTTCCTGTGCCCAAGGACACCCTGTCTTACCTCACTGTGTCTGTTAAATGACTGGCTGGGCCATCTGGTTAGTGTGGGGGGTGCTGAGATAAGCCAGATCTGGGGCTCAGGCTTTTACTCCAGCATCTCCTGAAAGTGTGCCCAGCCGGTGAAGTTTTATGAGGGCATCAGCAGGGGTCTCACCGAATCGGCCCACTGGCTTGGGAGCTCGTTCTCTCCCGCGTAGGACATCCAGGCTGGGCTCCTGTAGGACGAGGGAGGTGTGGGGATGAAGTAGCCAGTGAAACCAGGTCTGTTGGCAGCTGGGATGGCGAACACTGCCGGCACCGTGTTACCTGGCGTGGAAGAGGTGGGGGGAGAGCAGATCAGGAGAGGCTGGATGCTGGGATCCAGCGCCGCCCAGAGCCCAAGAAAGCCAGCTTCACAGGACGCCTGGCTGTCAGCTGGGCTTGAGGTCTTGTTAGATCAGATCTGACTGAGTGGCACTTGTTCTGGGCTGTGACGCTGGTGCAGCTCTATCTAAGGTACAGTGATCCCCGGCTGTGATGGCCGAGGCTCCAGGGAATGTTAGGGTTAGGGTTAGGGCAGGGACGAGTGTGGGCCAGAGGAGTGGGAACCAGGCCTTCCTTCTTTGTAGAACCCGGCTCCTTTTTAATATTTTATTTAGAGACACTGTGCAGAGCAACAGGGGGTGCCATGCTCAGGGAACCTGGCCTAGAGGCCAAATAGGGGCTAAATCCAGCCTGTGCCCTTTTGCCAGGTGTGGGGTCTGCACTCTCCTGGGGGAAGGACAGACTTTTGCTGGGTTCTGGACTTTTCCCACCTTCCCAACCCCTGAAGAGGGAGTGGTAGGCCCAACTGGCAGCCATGGGGCCTGCATCAGCTCAGACTGGAGGAAGCTGAGGAGCCAGGGGGGACTCTGGCATGGGCCCTAGGTACAGAATGAGAGGAAAATATTCTGGAGATGGGGTTCAGGGAAAGCAGGAAACCTCCTCCTGCAAGCCCAACCCCAGTCACCTGCAGTATGGGAGGGCAACCTCTGCTGTAACTGACAGGCTCTCTAAGCTTTAATGGCCAAACTCTCCCAGTGAGCCCTTACAACTTCCTACTCCCCAACCCAACACCCCTGACCTGCTGGCAAGAGGAAATGACACCCCAGTGTCTGGGTGATTTCCTCCCAAGAGGATGCATGTTTGGGGATTTATGTTGTTGTTGTCAGTTTTTTGTTTTTTTTTTTGGTATGAGGAATTGAACCCAGGGGTGCTTAACCACTGAGCCACATCCCCCAGCCCTTTTTAAAATTATTTTATTTGAGACAGAGTCTTGCTAAGTTGCTGAGGATGGCTTTGAACTCAGGATCCTCCTGCCTCAGCCTCCCCAGAGGCTGGAAGAATGCATGCTTTTAAAGGTCCAAGAAAAAAAAAATTGAAACGAATGGACTTCACTGGTGGAATTCCTGAATGCTGTGAAAGCTTTATTAAATGTTGTCAAATGGGTGTTTGCAGTTTTAGTCTAAAAGGTATGGTCTGAGTGAATTAAAACACTAACTACATCATGTACAAACCTTGATGTTCCATTTGGACTTTATTTGTCATAGTGAAAAACTGGAAACAACACTTAATGTCCATTGAGAGGGAAAGGCCGGATTGTGGCGTATCATACACAGAACATCATATGGCAGTTTAAATGAATAAGCTAGTTAGTATGTAGGTAGCAATCTGGAGAAATCTTGCAAACAATGTTGAATCAAGAAAACAAAGTACAAAAGGAAATGTATAGCATATCACTTATGTAAATTTAAAATGCATGACATGAATACATACTGTTATATAGACTTGCATTTGGCAAAAGATTAAAACCCACTACTCATGGTCTGTGAATATCTTGGGGAAAGGGAATTAAGAAGGGGGTGGATAGCTGTAAGCATAAATCTAATTTACTTTTTTCCTTTCTTCCTTCCTTCAATACTGGGGATTGGACCTAGGTGTGTTCTATCACTGAGCTGCATCCACAGCCCTTTTTAGTTTTCGTGGCAGGATTTTGTTAAGTTCCTGAGACTGGCCTCCAACTTGTGAGTCTCCTGCCTCAGTGTCCCCAGGTAACGGGGATTACAGGTGTGCACCACTGTGCCCAGCTGTAATGCTTTAAACGAAACCACTCACAGAACTGGAAAAATGTCAACTTACACTCTGATTTCAGCAAAACTTGGTGTTTTGTACAGTTTCAGATCTTTTAAGAAATAAAATCAGTAGCTCTTCTAGTCGGGATTGTGAAGTCATGAGGGGACTCAGAAATGTGGAAGCTCTGGTTCCCGAGGGTGGCAGGTGGAAGGCGGAGTAGATTTGGGGACCAGGATACGGAGGGGCTCTGCAGTAGGGACCAGGACCCTGGGGCTTTCCTCCTCCTGCTCACCTGAGTAATTTAAAGCAGACTGATCCAACTGTGTCACGGACACGGGGCCTCTGGACACCTGTGCAAACGAGGCGCTGTCCTGCAGCTGGGCTGGCTCAGGACCTGTGGACTCGGCCATTCGGGTCTTGCTGCCGATGTCTGAGGTGGACCTGGGTAGGGCAGAGGGGCTCTGTTAGCATGGTCCCCAGACCTCAGGGGGCAGGGGGCAGCATCCCTAATACCTTTGGTAGGAGGCTATGACCTCCAAGCCCCACAGGGGTGGAGTCTTGGGGACTAGATTTGTAGGAGAAGCTCAGACTTGTAGGAGCCATAGGGTGACCAGAGCTGGAGTACCTTTTACATGTTCAAGGTCAGTTCTTCCCTAATGTGGCTCTTGTGCCTCTGGGCAGGAGAACATTTAATTTCCGGAAAAGAAGCAAAGCAATTAGCACTGGGTGTTAGCTGGGGTTGGTCAACTTAGGAGGTGATGACATCATTGGCAGCCAATGAGAAGGCTCCATCTAGAATGTGGGGGCGAGGAGGGGGGCTTCCCTTCACTGACACTAGCACAGGTGACCAGGTCGGTGACTGCAGGGCCACATTTGCTACAACTGGCAGGAAGTGGGAAGCCCAAGACACTGTGAAGTTCAGGCTGCTCTCAGGAGCAAGGAAACAGCACTTTGTGAACATTATGAATAAAAGAACCTTCCCTCTATATTTTGATCCCACAGACAATCAGAGAATCAGGTCTACATCTTATTTCAGTAGGCAAATAAGAGTGGCAGCCCGGCGGAGGGGGACACAGACGTCCCTCCAGCTACAGAGGGTGCATCCCCAAGGTAACTTTCCTCATCAGCAACCTGTCACAGAAGGGACTTTGGGCTCCTCTACAGTTAAATTGGAAGGAGGGAGAGGCGGCTACAGCCGGTGGCAGGCTGCCAGCCCACAGGGCTACCCGTGCAGACAGAGGAGGGGCTGTCACAGTAAGAGCAGAGAAGAGCCACCGCAGGGAGAAGACAGGAGGCAGGTCTGGGTTCGCCTCTTCTCTAAGCCTGTTTCCTTTTTGTAAAATGAAAGGGGTGGACAACTCTGTTTCGAATGTTCTTCCTGATCTAATTCTCTGGGTTTCTGGCCTCCTGACATTTGGCAAGGATGGCAAATGGTGCAAAAGGGTGAGGGAGGAGATGGTGGTGGAAAGAAGGACGAAGAAACAGACGTTGGCCATGGCACAGATGGTGACATCAAGGCCCTCTAACCCAGAGCTCCCGGGATAACAGAGAAGCCCCCTCCTGTTCCCCAGGAGGGTTAGATGTGGGGGTTGCAATGATCTGATATCCACCAGGGTGGGTGGTCGTGGCTCAGACCTCCCTCTGGCCTCCCTCCCTCCCCTGGGCTCCCACATGCTGTTCCAGACTTCTGCTGCTATTTCCAAAGTCCCATCCTAGGAAAATTACTGGGTTCTGCTCCATACACTCTGCTGAGACCCCCTTCTGAGAATTCCAGGGCTTTTGAAATCGCGTAGGCCATTACAGGGGCCAGAGAGGCAAGGCAACTTGCCTGGGGATACACAGCATATTCCTGGTAGATCAGGGACTGGAACCCTGCTCAGCTGCTCCCCACCCCACCCTGGTCTCCACTGGCACCCAGGGGTGGCGTCTATACAGCTCCACATTCTAAACCACTGGAACTGAGTCGGGATCTTTTTTTGGGTGCCACTCCTATTTTCTTCAGTATTTTCAGAGTCTAGGCCTGTGGTCCACAGACGAGTGTTACTAGTGTGTTGGGGGTTAGGCTGAGGAGGGAGGCCCAGGGAAGTGGCCCGTGGGTACCCCCCAGGGCAGAACTCTGGACAGCGGGATTATCCCAATCTTTCCTAGTACTCATGGCTTTTATATTTCGTGTCCATATTTATTAAAAATGAGTGCTTCTTATATCATTACAGAGCACAGAAAAGGTTGAACACATGCCTCATACGATCCGAGTTCCTATGTTTTCAGCTCCATCCTCTTGGACATTAGGAGTTGGGGGTGGGTATTCAGAGGCACTCTTCCCTGGCCTCTCAGACACCACACTTAAGTGCAGAGCAGCCGCTGAGTGTCAACATGGCTGCAGGAGGCATTCGGACTTGTAGCAGCCACTGTAGCAGCCTGTGTTGGAGTCATTTTTAGATGTTCAAGGTCAGTGTCTGGGCTTTCAAGGTATGGGGCAGTTGACCTTGTGTTTTTTTTTTTTTTTTTTTGTGTGTGTGTGTGTGTTTGACTGTAGATTAGGAAGGACTTTCTATTCAGGATATTTAGGAAGTCCCGAGAGTTGGTCCACCGACCCTCCCCGGGCCCCACTTGGGGTGCCACAGATACACAGGTGTCTGAACAGGTGAGTGCCTTAAAAGGCGCAGAACAGGAAAGAAATTTCCTAGTGCTGCTGTCCACAGACCACACCTTTCCCAAATATTCCAAACAAAGCAAAGAAAGGAACGTGTTACCGCCTGAGAGAAGCAACAGCCACCGGGCCAGTCCGGGGAGGTACAGGCGGAGGGGGAGAGCCCATGACCATCTCAGGAAGCTGGGAAAACCTGTAGGCCTGTGGGAGACACACAAACGGAGCGAGATCTGTTAAAACCCAGCGTCAGTCGGCACGCAGGGTCCACCTAAGTAAGGAGGAAGTGAGGCTCCAAGGGCCTGACACTCCTTCCTCCCTGAACCCCTTCCCCTACCTCTCCTGTCTCATCTCTCACCACCCTCTCCTTGCTCGTCTTCAAGAGCCCTTCAGTGTTCCCAGAACATAGCCAAGCTCTTAGCTCTGAGCTACCTTAGCCAAGCTCCTTCCTGCCTTGGGCTTTGCTCCATGCTGTTCCTTCTACTGAGGATACTTATCTCTCAGTTCTGCCCCTGGAGAAGGTCTTTCATTTTGTGAAAGACCGCTTTCTGGTATTGTAATGTTGCTTGGTTATTTATTACCTGACACTGGCTCGATTGTAACCTAAAGGCTATAAGGGCAAGGGCTTTGTTGTCAGTAACATCTGTGTGCCTGGAACAGTGCTTGGTATACATCAGGCATTAAGTATTGGATGAATGAATATGATTGACTTTCTTCTGAAAGGCAGGTTTAGCAAGGGAAAGGAAATGGGTTTGGGGTCAGGAGGGATGTGTGGAGGTTCTGATAACTAGATTTTATTAGATCCATCTATAGGCAAATCAGGTGAACTTCTCTGGACTCCTGTATCCTCTTCAGAAGTGGGGACATTGATGCTCTACCCAGAGAGCAACTAAGAAGATAGGCAAGTGAGCATTTGTGCAAGGATTTTGCAATCTATAAAGTGCTATTCAAGGATAAGGGATTGAAACTCTTACCAAAGTAATGACTTTCATCCAAACTTGAGGGGATAAAAGAAAGATAGGTAGAGATGGACAGAATCAGAAAGAGTCAGGCCGCCGCTTCCTTTAGCAGGAGAAAAATATAGAAAAGCTCTCTGGGAAGACAAAGCTTAAGTAGTGCTTCTCATCCATGTCTTTCTTCAGGCATCTTGCCTACCACAGCTCTCAAAGAACAGGATGACAGGACTTGAAACCTGAAAGCATCAGCATCAAAAGCTGCAGCACTGGGAATCCACAGCAGGATTCTTTAAGCTGAATGAGGTCTTCCCCCTCCAGCATTATGGCAGTCTACCCACCTGGAAGGGCCACGCCAGGCAGAAGCAATGAGGCTCTGGGCAACGTGTACTTTTAAATGCACTGTGAAAACTGCAAGCTGTGAGCAAAGTCTTCAACAATACCTCCTCTGTCTACCTCCTTCCCCAAACACCTCAGCAAACTAAAACAAAACCAGGAGCTGAAACCAGAGGTGGAAAAAAGTAGTAAGCAAATATAAAAGGTGGGATTACCCAGACGATAAATGCAACTCTGATAATCGATTAAGAGATCAAGCCTTGGAACTGGGGACACTAAGGTTCAGTCTTGGTACTTTGGCAAGTAGAAGCGATCGTAAGTCCTTTTTGAAGTGTCTCAAAGTAGATTCTCAGGATTAGTACAGATTAAGATGAAGCAAAGAGGAGGTCATAATCCAAGACCATAAAACAAACCAGGAGAGAAAAATGAAAGACTGTAGGGAAAAAATACCCAGATGTACAGAGTCTGAAGTTTCCAGATACAAAACAAGGAATAAAAATGTAAGATATGTTTTTAAGCAAATAATCGATCAGAGAGATGCTATCAGGAAAGATCCAGCATCCATGAAAAACAACTTTCAACTGGGTGCGGTGGCACACGCCTGTAATCCCAGCGGCTCAGGAGGCTGAGGCAGGAGGATCGCAAGTTCAAAGCCAGCCTCAGCAAGACCCTATGTCTAAATAAAATATAAAAAAGGGCTGGAGGTGTGGTTTGGTGGTTAAGGCCCCTGGGTTCAATCCCCAGTACAAAAAGCAAAAACAAAAACACCTCCAAACCTCTCAGAAGTGATTATTGAGATAAAATATTCAATGTAGGGGAATTAAATAATAGATTAACATGGCTGAAGAGAGAATTAACAAATCTGAAAATAGAATTGTGGAAATTACTAAAAATTAAGCACAAAGAGACAGAGATAGAAAATATAAAAGATACAGAGGATAGAATGAACAGATCTAAGATGCAAATAGTTAAAGTCCTGAAGGACAAAAGTGGGAGACTGACGGACAGGCAATATTTGAAAAAGCCATGGCTCAGAATTTTCCAGAATTTATTAAATAAATAAGTTAACACTTTCAGGAAGCACAATTATATCTCAAGCAGCATAAGCAAATTCAAACAGAACATACATCTGACTACATTGTAGTGAAGTGGTAGAATACTAAAGGCCAAGAGAAGATCTTAAAAGTAGACAGAGAGAAAAGGCATCCCACCCACAAAGAGATGGCAACAAGGCTGACAGATGCCTTCTCATTTGCACTCAGAAGACATGAAAGGCAAAAGCGCTCAGAGAAAATCATTGTCGACCTTGAAGTGTATCAGCAATACCAACTTTTTAGTAGAAGAACAAAAGAAAACATATGCCCAGATCTGGAAGCACTGACTGAATCAATATGGAGAGCTATATTACTGAGCTGCATTTCCCGTTTTTTTTTTTTTTTGAGGATCAGTTAGCTATGTATGCAAAGGCCGATATCTGGGGAACTGTAACTTGCCTCTCCACTAGACAGATGTGTCCATCTCCTCAGGGTACCCCTTCATTACCCAGTGCCTCGCACCTGGTGGTGCTAAGTTACTGTTTTCTGAATGCTGCTGAGTGAACCACGAATAAGAAGATCCAGGCTCTCATCTTGATTTAGCCATTCACTTTCTAAGAAAAGGTCACTCCTTCTCTCTATACCTTGTCTCTCTGTTGTTTCGTTTTGTTTTCCTTATGAAATAGGTTTTGGCCTCGCTCATGGTCTTCCAGACCTATCTTCAGTCGCAAAACCATCCTGGAAGACCCTGATACAGAATGAAAGCAGAGCTTTTCTGGCTGCTGTTGGGAGGAAGTTCCCTGGTGAATCTGACCCTTCACTTACTTTCATGGTGCTCCCTGGGGGCCTCCCTGAACCCTAAAGTTACTCAGACAGTTTCAAAAGCATTCTTCTGGATGCCCTTCAAGTTCTACGTTCCGTAATTATCAATAAACTGACAGGTGAGGTGTTCCTTTCCCGAAATAGAGAAAGGGGCTCCCATCCTCTCTCCTCTCTTCTGGCCTTGCTGTGCTGCTCAGCAGGGGAGGCAGACAACTTATTTTTATCCCTGGTTCTTGGAAGGTTTATTCTGCCGTCAACATGATTTCCCAGCCAAGAAAAAGCTTCCTCTGCTTGTCTGTCCTATAGCAGAATAAAAGTTCTGAACCTCTGACTAGCACCAAGGGAGTGCTCTCCAGGGGAGATTTTCGCAGGAGGAAAGCAGGACATCAGACTGTCACCTTGAGGCTGTATCCTTGGCCCTTGGAGCAGCCTGGTGGGGGGTTGGGAACATAAAAACCAGAGATGCAGCCCATGCCACGTGCTCACAGCCTGGGGAATCCTCTTTATTGGATCTTCCTACCCCCACCCCCCACCCCCGTGTGCAGGCTCCCTGTGGTTCAAGTCCTATCTCCTCTGTACTCAGGCTCCCTTCCTCAGTTACTTGGAATCTAGCTTCTGTTGGCTGCTTTGGGACTAGGACCCCACTGGAAGCCATTACTCAAAACGATTGACAGGTTCCAAGTTCTCTGTTCCATGACAGTGGCTGCTCAAGGACACCATCTTTTGGGATCTTTGCCTCTGACCAGCATAAAGACCAGACTCAGGTTGGAAGGCAGTCTTTGGAAATGGGTCTTCAAGGATGTAGGTGTCTGGGTGTGACTAGAATCCAGCAATCGAAGGAAGGAAGGTGACCAGTCTGTTCAAAGTCCCAGGCCTGACTATGCTGGAGTAGAGGGTGACAGGAGTAGATCAGAACCATCTTCTCTAGTGATCTCAATGGAGAGGGAGCCCAGGCAAGACCCACTGTGTCCTCCTTGTGAATGTGCATCCACCCAGGAGGAGGGGTCTGTAGGCAGAAACTTTAAGGGACACACTTCAGGGCTGAGGCTGAAGGGCAGCTTGCCATTGAAGGAACAAGCTAAGGGATTTTTGGCTTTTGGTGGATGAAAGTAGACCCACAGGCCAAAGCCAACCCACCTTCATGAGAAGCAGTATTAGTCAGCTTTCTGTTACTATAACAAATACCTGAGATAATCAACTTATAAAAAGAAAAGGTTATTTTGGCTCACAGTTTTGGGGATTTCAGTCTATAATCAGCCCTGGTGCTTTAGGCCTATGGTAGCAGCACATCATGACAGAATAAATGCTCACCTCATGACCAGGAATTGAAAGAGAAGAAGACTGGGATCCCCCATACCCTTCAAGGTCATACCTCCAGCAACTTGAAGACCTCCCATTAGGCCCCACCTCTTAAAGGTACCACCACTTCCCAATAGCACCACATATGGGCACCAAACTATTAACACATGGGCCAGATTCAAACTATAGTAGAAGCCCTTGTTTGATGCCAGCAAGTTAGCCTCAGGTTGGAGTGGATGCTCCAGTCTTTCCATAGCCATGGCTACACTGGGCTTCACAGCAGTGTGCTGATCCCAAGTGTGCTGCTCCAGGCAGAATAACATCCACCTTGTTCAATTCCAGCTATAAGTAACTTCATATCCTGGTTACAGGGGTACAATCTTCTAGAAAAACAGTTCTTATTTAATTGAAAGCAGGGACTTGGTAATTAAAGTCTTAACTCCAAGGTGGAGAAAACAAACAAACCCAGGGCTTACCTTGACAGCGACCCAAGAGCTACTGATGGAGCATTATCTGAGGTTTCTGAGGCCTCAGGGATCAAAGAAGGTTCAAGTTGGGAAGAGAACAGGAGACACTGAGACCTCTTGCCTTAACAGATGGGGATATGAAAGCTCAGAGAGGTCAACTGACCTGTTCAAAATCATGCTGTCAGTTAAGGGTGCTGTCTTGAAAGTCTGAGCTCAGGGTTCCGTGAGGCAAAGGCCATGGGTTTTGGTATCAGACACATCTGGGACTGAATCTTGACTTTGGTCCTTTCCAG